AATTTCATCGGAATAGATGCGAATTTTGTCTGATCGACTTTCCTTTAGAGTGGCAATGGCACTTTTGGAGTACAATGAGCATTTTTTGTAATAGTAATAGGTCTGAGAGGTTTTTGGTAAATACTTTTCCTGATAAGAATACGCCAACCAATCACAAACACAGTACGAACAAGGCTCTATTTCCATGGTGTCGAACACCAGCATCATCTGATAACTGTTGTGTACATTTTTCAAATATTGAGGGAAAAATACTTTCCAAGTACAAGTTTGRTTGGGCTKGTAATTGYYTGGAAAACCTGGACTTTGGATCTCGTACTTCCAGCCAGTTTCGAGAGTAGCATCTACATTAAGAGCATCCTTTGCACAAGCTGAAAGAAGCAAATCTCATATTATCCAAAACTGAAGCATTTTATTGCAATACATACTTCGATATCTATATCACTGAACTAAACAGCGCTAATAATTTAGCTCTTACTTGTAGCAGTTATGCAATGATCTTTCAGCAAGCACAAAACTAAAACTGAGGAAAAAAATACATTTAGTAATGAAAAATACATTTTATTACAACCGTCGCTATTAATAAACTTATTTTGGAAGTGATATTTCGCGTTACTTTCTGGGTTTCTCCTGCCCAACCTCCCTCGGAGCCGTTAGGAACGTCTGGCTAGGCAGGCTACCGACATGATCATGTGGCCATGGATGGTGTAAGGTACGAGAAATTTTAGGTCTGACATAGAGTTGGGGTTTGGAGGTCCTCGCGTTACACTCCGATCCAAGTTGTGGTGGAAGTACCCGAGCTCGTCGTACATGGTTGGTAGCCAACTGGASAGGAGCCTCGTTGGCTATTATAGATCATAATAACCGTAAAATATAACGCGTTGAAAAATGTAGCGCGCGCAACGACTTCAAACGACTAACTATATACTAGGGAATCAGATATTGTCAGCACAAACTTAAGTAGGTATAATTAAGAGTATCAATGACTTATGTTTTAAGCCTAGTGTCCATTTAATGGTGACAAAATATGTTTTGCATTTTTGTCATGACCAACGTCCTTCTGCTAACTAGATAACCAACAGCAGCTCTGACATGAAGAAAACTTACCGGTATTTAGAGCCAAGAGAACATACATTGTCACGGTCTTCAAGTTGAATAAACCTTTGTACACTAACACCGTCCTAAATTGCAGTTATGACGCCCTATAATAATAATTTTACTGTTTTCATTGGTAGCGATGAGATCACGTGATAGACATATTTGGTTCCCTCTCATGCGTTTTCATTCGCGCTATTTCGTTTTTCTTGAAAGGAAACGACTAAAACGAATACCAGTGACACAATATATCAAAGTATTACAAAAGGGGACAGCATATTTTACCATTTGTTATATTATAGCTCAATTCTAACAAGCGTACTGATTGGCGGATCTCATTTGAAAAGCTATGGTATATTTCTCCACCAGCCTGCTGTCTTGAAAGACTTTTGAGTCTAAATGGCGAATGCCAGCTATAATATAAAAACAATCAAACGATAGCTTGAAGTGTTTTAATGGTCTGACGGCTCGTGATTTACAGAAACCAAACCATCCCGCGCGGTTTATTTCTCCACTAACCAGCTTCAAGCTATCGTTTATTGCTTAATTACATACTGATTGGAAAAATGGCGAGCCGTCACAAGTTCACAATGATCTGTCAATATTTGGGGGAGGTTAAATAATGCACCAAAGGATAACCTATAATTAAGCTTGTAAAATGCACTCATTATTCTTCGTTTTCAATCCACGTGATAACTCAGGCAGAATGGCCTCGTCTCAAATTTCAAAAGCTTTATTAATAGAGGTAAAAACATTCAGAATCTTTTAGAGCATTCAAAACTACGTATATCCACGACGTTTAGAGTTCGTACAGCGTCTAGTTACTGCTGAATCATTTGCGATTAAATATGCATAATATTTGGTAAAGAATGCATGCGGGAACCATATTGGAGGACGGCTCATGTCCCCCAGCATAGCGAATGATACAATTCAAGCCTGAATATTTCGGGAACAAAAAACTTTTATATGAACCCATGCCCAGCCAAACCTTGGTAATGTCTTTCCATGATAGTCAGCTATCTGTAATATATATAACTGATGTTTTTAGCCATATCTATTCGATCTAAATTTCATATATCACTCTGACTTTTGTTGACGTCATGAAAACGAAGAATAGGAAAATYGTCGCGAATCGAAAAATAAATGAATGATGCTGCTAGGCTAAACTAAAATTTTTGCGTAAATCTTCAATTTCTGAAATCAAAAGTGCTTTCGTTTTACATATTATTTTAATAATATCACTGTGGTAGGACGTCAACTTTGTAATTAGAAGACCCGTCCTGGAAGAAGATGATGATGAGCTGTCAAGCTCTTTCGACTTTACTCACTCAAGTCCGACACTTGTACTGATTGGCGGATCTCATTTGAAAAGCTATGGTATATTTCTCCACCAGCCTGCTGTCTTGAAAGACTTTTGAGTCTAAATGGCGAATGCCAGCTATAATATAAAAACAATCAAACGATAGCTTGAAGTGTTTTAATGGTCTGACGGCTCGTGATTTACAGAAACCAAACCATCCCGCGCGGTTTATTTCTCCACTAACCAGCTTCAAGCTATCGTTTATTGCTTAATTACATACTGATTGGAAAAATCGCGAGCCGTCACAAGTTCACAATGATCTGTCAATATTTGGGGGAGGTTAAATAATGCACCAAAGGATAGCCTATAATTAAGCTTGTAAAATGCACCCATTATTCTTCGTTTTCAATCCACGTGATAACTCAGGCAGAATGGCCTCGTCTCAAATTTCAAAAGCTTTATTAATAAAGGTAAAAACATTCAGAATCTTTTAGAGCATTCAAAACTACGTATATCCGCGACGTTTAGAGTTCGTACAGCGTCTAGTTACTGCTGAATCATTTGCGATTAAATATGCATAATATTTGATAAAGAATGTATGCGGCAACCATGTTGGAGGTCGGCTCATGTCCCCCAGCATGGCGAATGATACAATTCAAGCCTTAATATTTCGGGAACAAAGAACTTTTATATTAACCCAAACCTTGGTAATGTCTTTCCATAATAGTTATCTGTCATATATATAACTGATGTTTTTAGCCATGTCTATTCGATCTAAATTTCATATATCGCTCTGACTTTTGTTGACGTCATGAAAACGAAGAATAGGAAAATCGTCGCGAATCGAAAAATAAATGAATGATGGATGCTGCTAGGCTGAACTAAAATTTTCGCGTAAATCTTAAATTTCTGAAATCGTTAGTTTTACATTTTATTTTAATAATATCACTGTGTTAGAACGTCAACTTTGTAATTAGAAGACCCGTCCTGGAAGACGATGATGATGAGCTGTCAAGCTCTTTCGGACTTTACTCACTCAAGTCCGACACTTTCACTCCGTAAAGCTCATGCAGTACCCAATATGAATTTTAATGATCTCAAAACAGTCGGTGATTCTAGCCTTCATTCCAAAATGCTGCAGTAATGTAACAATGTTATGGATTCTACTTTTTATCATTCCATTCCTTCACTTATATTTGGGTATAACTGTGAATGATTGACAACACAATGTCACGTTACTGAGTAGATGAATAAATATGTAGAGTATTCTTATCATCTTTAAATTCAATCTAGTTTCGTGTGGCATTCAGAGATTTTTTGACAATATAAATCATTTACTCTAAACTTATTTACATGATTCCATACATTGAAAGAATTGGGCTCCCTGCTTTATCACATGATTGTCGCAAGCTTAAATTTTGCACCCATAATCCTTTTCGATAATTCCAAAGCCTGCACACCTGTGGTTGAAGTTGAAGCATCTACGTTCGATTAAGATTAACAATAACAATAAGGATTTAATGACATCAGACAGATTAACAGACAATCGTTTCTATAATTTTTTAATACAGAACTATATAATCTACGACAGGGAGATCTCTAGTTTCCTATACGTGTTTTTTTATGTTCTGCCCTTATTTACTGATGGACATACGTCTTTCTTCCGAGGGTTTTTTGTTTGTTTGTTTTTTGTTAGTAGACTGTTACATTCTTTGCGAACAAGTGTTTCTTCATCTTTCTTGATCACACAACACGGGTTTTCTTTTGTCATATGAACGTTTTCGTTGTGCCATTGCCGTTTTTCTAATAAAACTCGGATGCGGGTTTTCTTCAGCATACATGCAGATTTATAGAGTCACGTGTATAAGGTCTTCTCTAATATTCAGTCACAGCTAATCGTCTTGGCCTTAATCAAGTACCAGTAGGTGACATGACCTTATGAATATTACCATTTGTTACATACTGATTGAGAAAATCGTGAGCCTGCAAGTTCACACAATGATCTGCCAATGTAAAGGGGAGGTTATCTAATGCACCAAAGGATATAATAACTTAATTCGGCTCTCATTATATAGGCAACACGAWAAAGTATAAAATGATGAAGGGATGGACTGAATTTTTCGTGCAATTCTTCAAATTGTCAAATCAAGAATGCTTTCGTTTTTAGTCCAAATGRAACCACTTAGCTGTCAAGCTATTTCGACTTTATTCACTGAAGATSGCTGTCCGATACTTTTGTACTCCTCCAGCTCATGCAGTACC